TTGAATATTTTCCATTTGTGAATAGTCTTCCTTATTATAAAATGATAAACTTCAAATTCTTTGGAAATAGCCTTATTCCCAGATGGATGGGCAGCAGCAATTGTTTCTCTAAAATCATTGCTGATGTCTTTCCTCTTTGGCAGTGTGTTAACACGCACTTCAATGCTGGACACCAGCAAACTCATAAAACTTCGGCTTTTATATAATTATATATGCTGATGATCAATTGATTGAGAGCACTTGATTAGAGCACTTGGCTGCTACTTAGCCTCTTCATTCCTATGAAAGCAGTAACAATTTTTCACACGTGGCTTCTCCATTTTGACTTTCTTTTTGTAAAATAATTGATAACATGGTATAATATATCATGTGTTGTTCATCCAAGATTATATTTACCTAACTGCTAAGGATGAGATGATTTTTATTATGTCCTTATATATAAAACCATAGAACTCAAAGGGGGTATATTTTCTTTTTCACATGACTGTACTTTTTTCTGAAATTGATTTTCATAGTTTTCAATTATTTAAAATTTACATTTATAACATGAACAGACTATCTAATTTCTAAGACATGAATGTGAATAGTTTACAATAATATCTGTTAGCCTGTGTTATACAGCCCAATGGGTTTGGCTTAATTTGAGTTGGGGTAATAATCAAAAGACAATCCTAGTCTGTTCTCAGAAGCAGCATTAGAGTGAAATTCAATAGAGCATATAAATAGTTTTTGTGGTGTAAAGCTTCTCTTCATTGCTTGATATCATTATCAAAATACATCAACCAAACAAACAAAACAAACAAAACAAATTACCAGAACAAGCCATCATTATACCAAATTTAGATAAAATCAACACCATACAGGTAATTTAGTTTTATAGGACTGAACAGATTTTATTTATGGGACTTATTTGGGATTGGACTCTTGATTGTTAAGTGATCATTAAGCAAGACATTATACAACTGCTTGGCTCAATGACCACTATCCTGGTACTCTTGCTTGTGGTCAAATGAACATGCAGGTTACTAAGCAGACAGAGGCCCAGGCAGAGCGTGGATGTCTCAGGGGAGTGGGTAAGAACCTGGAGTTCTTTCAGGACTTGGGTGCTGAACATTTTCCCAGCCAATTTATTTATTTAGCATATGGCATATGTTACCCAGGGATCACCAAGATGGCTCGCTGCCTCTGTGAAAGGAATTTTTATGGGTGGTGTTACCTTTACGCCTGAATGTCAGAAGGCAATTGGGGGAGGCTCCTTTCTTGTCGCTCCATAATTTATTCACTCATAGGAATTGAGCTGCTGAGCTGCTGGCCTCAATGGTGAGCAAGCCCAGTGTCTTACCACAGGAGCCAACACGGGCCCCTTTCCCTGACAAAATCCAAACAGTATTTTTTTCCAAGTTTTATTGGATTTTTATTTTTAAGTATACATCAATATCATGAACAGTGTGGCCTCTGGGTATAATTCATTTTGATGCAAACATCAATAATGATAACCATAATAGTTGTTATATTAATCAAACTTACATAATCCTAATATTAATATACATGTTTTAAAGTTTTATTCAATATTTCAATGTTCCATTTTAATGCCAATGATATTATAAGCATATATGATAATACCATCTTTCAACCTCTGATCTTTTCCATCAAATTATTACTTCTGTTATATAAAAATTATATCTGCTAATATTCCCCCTATTTCTTATTTCTACCTCTATTCTAGCTTCTAATCAGGTCACCACTGCTAATCCTAGTATTAATACACATGTTTATTAAGACATAGTCCTTCATTATTTGGTTGTTTAAAGACACAATACACCATTCAAGTACCAGTCAACATACCTTATAATACCATCTTTCAACCTCCAATCTTTCCATCTAACTATTGCTTCATATAAAGGCATGTTTCTATCCATTATCTCTTGTTCCTTTTTAATAATATTTCAATTCTTATTCATTTTTTGGCTTTAGCTCCCATATGCCTCTCTTGGATCTTTATCTCTATCAATATCTGTGTCTTCACCATTCAGTCTGGATACTTCTCCCATCTCTATCCTGCTAAACTGCCAGGTCTCCAGAGTATCCACCCAAACCCCTATCTCTCTTTCAAAAATATCTTCCAGGTTATTCGATTCCATTTTTAAATTTCTTAAAGTACTTTTCCCTTGGTTTAATTTCATTAGTCATTATTGTCTTTATTGTCTTCTAACTATCCAAACACTGTTGTTAGCTCTGGAATAGAATGACAATTATGCCAGCCTCCAGCACCCCTCTATGGCACCCAACATTCATTTCCTTACCACTGCAACTTTTCCTTCAGGAGTTGAAAATACTCTCTGCCAAAGTCCAAACAGGAGTTGGTGAGCAAGAAACATTATTTCAGGCCTCCCTCATCTGACTGAGCTGGGCTCTATAGGCTCCTCACCTTTCTTTCTGACTCTGCTCTCTGTTTGGATTTCAACTTCCTCTCATTTCTGGAGACTAGCCTGAAGAACTGCTTTCTGAAAGCGTTCAGCTCCCTTCCACGCATGAAAGAGGACTTCTTCAGCAAGATGTAGGAATGGAGCCTGTACGTCCAAAGGAGTTCAGCTCTCCTCCATGTCTAGAACCCCTTTGACAGCATGAGAAATTGACATTTTTGGGATTTGAGTTCCATTTCTACATCCTATCAAAGAAGTGAAACTCCCGTCAGGCAACATTTCTTTCAGCCAGTACCAAGACATAAGACAGAGTCCTCTCAGCAGGCTACACAAGCAATCTTCCCTGCTGGCTTTCCCATTGACTTTCTGAGGAAATTGACAGAAAAGATTGCTAAATGATGATCACCTGATTGCAGGATGCTTGGCAAACTATTATAAGTTCATACAATGCCAAGAATCCAGATTGCAATTACATGACCCAGGATAGCGATGGGGCTGCAATGTTTTACAAGGACCAAAATGCTCTATGAGCCATAAAGCACCTTTTCTGAGTCATAATTTTGGACTGTTGTTAAATGATTATAAGTCATTCTGTATTTATCATAACTTTTTTTTCACAATGCCGACATGATTTGACTCCAATTTGATTGTCATACTACATATACAAAAACAGTAGTGTATAGACCTAATAGCATCATTAATAACAATAATTATTATTCCATATATACTTTGAAATTGTTTCACACTATAAGAATAACTGGACCCATCCCGCCATGATTCAAAGTCATATCCCTGATTAGCTTAATTCTCTGAAGCCAGTAGACTGATTATGGATGCTAAGCAAGATTTGTTGATAGCAAATATCAGCTGTTACTTATAATGCAGAAACAGTACACTTATGGAGTTAATTCCTTTATAATAGCTTATAACTCTACTTTTACAAGGTTTAAAGTACTTAAGCATATGCATTTTGTTGCTCTATTTATGTCTCCAAAGTGAATGGAAATTGAAATCAATAAACTAGAACAGAATTCATCCCCAGACAAACTCAAAATTGGATATAGAAAATAAATATGCTTTGATTTATCATACATTTACATGTATGATGGGACTGATAATGTACTGTATGAATCAGTAATTGGGATTTTTCATGGCAAAAGAGAAGAAAGCTTAGTAAAATTGTTCAACTTTTCTTCTAATGTATAGAGGTATTCTTTTTAAGGAAAGGGGAGTTTATTAGATTATTAGAATAATCTAACTAGAACTTTTCCATTAGAACTTTCCCAATATTTCATATAGGCATTTTTATTTTAGATTTTACTTTCACTTCTATTACTCTCCAAGATTTTGGAAAACCAATCCTATTGATCCGTATACTTTTAGTTAAGGCTAAGTTTTAACAACATTATTTTCCTGTGAATTTCTTTGAGCATTTAAAGCAACCTTACTTTCCAGTAGCATTCAAAGGATATTAGACTCCAACAAAAATTGTCAAACCAATGGCAAAAGAAACAAAAGCCAGGTTTTTCAAATGTTTGGCTATTCTACTTTCTCAATAAAGAAAAGATGCAAATCAGAAAAAACATGTAGCACTTTTTCAGTCTAACAAATTTTAACATCAGATACAATTTATTTTTCTTTTCATTGTGTCCAATTCTAAGAGACTGCCTGGACAATTTTCTGCAATTTTCTTAGCAAGGTTTTTCAGAAGTGCCTTGTCATTTCTTCCTTCCTAGGGCTAAGAAAAATAATTAATCCAAGATTACCTAGCTTGCTTTATGTCCAAGGCAGGACTAGAATTCACAATCTCCCAGTTTCTAACCTGATGCCTTTAAAAATTTTATCAAATTAGCTCTCTAACAGATACATACTATGAATAAACTGATGTACCTGTAAATTGGGGTGAAATAGAAAAGGAGGGGAACATAGGTTTGTTATGTAAATTGAGGTTATGAGCTGAATTATAAGTACATTATCTATTAACTATAATGTGTTAAAATCCATCTGTGTTGAGACTTTCTGAGATAACATGAAACCTTTGATGTGAGTTTAGCCATTTTTCATATAATTGTGATGTTATTTTTGTTTTCTTTCCTTGAAATTGTTACTTTGAGCTATATAATAGAATGTCCTGAGAAGTTGAAATAGTTTGCTATCAGATGTTACTTGTATTTCATGCATCTGTTGTAGTGTCTTCTAAAAAATATGTGCTAATGTGAAAAGGTGCTACTGGACTCCAGATTTTTGGCTGCCATAGATTAACATAGCTTCTTCTATAATGTTAGAATGTTAGAAGCAGAACATGACAAAATGGTTGCTTTTGCAGGAGAAATATTTGCCATCTATTTCAGCCACAAATTAGCAAATAGATGGTGTTGTTAATATTGTCTTCAGGTCAACTGTTAGATCAACTGATTTCCCCAAAAATCTTGAGAAAGCTTGAGAAAAAAATTTCATGAAGGATTTTAATAAGTTCGTGCATAATAATCATTATGCATGTGTATGGGTGTGTGGGTGTGGGTGTGAGTGGGTGTGTGTATTAGTATTAATAGCCTTTATGACAACTATTAAACTCACCTTCCAGCAGGAATTCCTCTCTTGTTAAGATCTATTCTTACTTTTTCTCCTACATGTTTGTAAATCTCCACAAGTGCCAAAATTGCAGCGTCTCTCACCTGTGAACATGAAAGATGCTCATCAATAAATCTGAAAGATATCAAAATAACCTATCTTGGTAATTTCCTGGAATTTAATATTGCATAATACACAGGTAGTCCTCGACTTAAGATACCAATTGAATCCCAAATTTATATTGCTAAGTGAGACATTTGTTAAATGAGTTTTGCCCAAATTACAATCTTTCTTGCATCAGTTGTTAAATGAAACACTGCAGTTTTTAAGTTAGTAATATGGTCATTAAGTGAATCTGGTTTACCCACTGACACTGCTTGTCAGGAGGTCCCAAAAGGTGATCACATAACCCCAACACATTACAATTATCATAAAGATAAGACAGTTGACAAGCATCTGAATCTTGATCATGTAACCATAGGGATACTGTAACAGTCATAGTTTTGAAAAATGTCATGTCACCTTTTTCAATGGCATTGTAACTTCAAATCATCATTAAATAAACTGTTATAAGCTGAGTATTATCTATCTGCACTAGACAAATATAATTCCTCAATAAAAGTATATAGTACCAAGAAAATATTTACCCTTATTTGCTGAAAGCATGTTTTGTATCACTATTGCTGTAATATCACTGATCAAATCATGCTGTATTTAACTATAACTATAATATCTACTGCATCTTATTTTACTTACATATCACACTTAAAATCTTTCAAATCTATAATAGACTTTTGGCAGTTTACACTATAAACAGGATGTATAGCAAAAGTATAAAGTTTAAAAGATCTACTGTAAAAGCCAAGTTATATTTAAAAATCACAATTTGTCCAATCCTGACAGGGCCATGAATCCACAATGAATTCCATCCAAAGAAAATGACATCAATTACATACTATTCCAATATTGCTTATATAAATTTACTGAATCAATATGAAAAAAACAATGGCAATAATTTGCCTTAATTATCTTAAAGTAGAAATCAACTTAGAACAAAGTGTACGACAAGGCAATACTATATCACCTATCCTTTTCTCAGTCTGCCTTGAAGAAGTATTTCACAAACTAGATTGGGCAAAATTTGGAATAAAAATCAAAGGTGCCTATTTAAATCACTTAAGATTTGCAAATAATATTTTTCTTTTTCAACTGTTCAATTGGCATTTGAAGAAAAAGAAACTCCTGGAACATAGCTTTACAAGAGTATAATACTTTAATGAAAAACTACATTGGCACAGAAATGAAACCAGCTCTGGATTTCCAGAGCAAACATAAGTATAGTTATTTCCTCCTTTCCCTCTGAGCCACCCACAGTCCATTATGACCACCAATCACTTCTGTTCATTCTGTTATGAGAAAACAGCTAGCCACACTTAGCATCTTTGAAAACCAGAGGTACCAGAGATACCTCAGTTGCTTAGATATCAGCCCCACCCCCACCTTTGCATTCCATTCAATCACCGCCTGTTTTTTTGTCAAGCTGTGAGAGGAGAAAATGGAGGTGAAAGAATGAATCAATCTTGACAGTTCTCTTCTCACAAGACCTAACCCTAACCATAACCAGGCATGATATTCCCCTCTGAAAAAAAAAATCGGGGCCGGCCAAGAGACCCCGCGCCGCGCGCCAAGAAATCGCACACACAACACCAACACTACACACCCTTCCTTTCTAGCCGGTCAGGTGTGGATCAGCTCCGGAGCTGGGCAGCCGCTTCCCTGGTGGCGGGGCCGAGGCTGCCGCCCGGGGAGCGCCCGCTGCTTTCCCTCACCAGGGCCGGGCCGTGGCGTGTTGTCCTGTGCTGCGTGGCCCCCGCCTGGCAGTGCGCTTTTCAGCACGAGGCAGCTGGGTTGCTGAAGGAGGCCGGCCGGCCAGGCGAGGGGAAGGCAGTGAGGGCCCTGCCAGGCTGGGGCGGAAAACCCACTTGGCAAGGGGCCGGGGAAGCCTGTGGGCAGAGGACCAAGCGCGCTGGGAGGCAGAGATTTGGCCGAGGCCGTCAGACGGAGAGACGGCTGGTCTGTGGCTGCCTAGCTCCCTTTTCCTGCAGCTCAGCGGCCTCCACTTGCACCGCCCGGGCTCCGCTCAGGTGTCCGGCTGGGGCTCTGCGCGCCTCTGTGGCTGTCCGAGCCGCTGCGCCTGAGCCTCCGGTGCCTCTGCTGCCATTGCTAAGTGCCGCCGCGGGTCTTCCTTTTTGCCTTTCCCTTCCCGAGGCAACGCGGGACTGGAGCCGCGCGGAGCTGTGCCGGCAGTAGCAACTCGACTCAGGGGGCCTCCAAGGGGAGGGGAAGGAGGAGAAGAAGGGGGGGAAGGGTGGGGGGGGGCGATTCCCCAAAAATCAGAATTCCAATTTTAATCGGAAGAATATCATGTCTGCCTAACCCAGAAGAGCTATGAAGACATATATAAGAGTTGCACAAAACAGGAGAACCATTTGGCTTAAAAATAAACCTGAAAATGAGAGGTTATGTTTAATAAATTAATCAAAGAAAGAACATTTGTTATACCTGGAGAAGAACTAGACATAGGCCACTATATATATCTTGGCTAATGGATCTCAATGAAAGGTGACACAATAAAGGAAATTGAATAGCGTGTTAAATGGTGTTGGCCGGCATTCAGCAAGCTAAGCATAATTTTCAAGAACAACCTTCCCTTATGCCTGAAGTTTTTGATCAGTGTATGCTACCTGCTATGTCAATAGAGCATGGAACTAAACTCACAATCGATACAAAAGCTAAGAATGGCACAAAGAGCCATGGAAAGATAAATGCTCAGCATTATAAGACAAGATAAAAAGACCTGTATGTAGTTATATGAAAGTTTACAGTATTATCAAGAGAATAAAAGAATTGAAATGGAAATAGCTGGTCACATAGCAAGAACTGATGGCAGGTGGACCAAGGCAGTCATAGAATGGATTCCACTTGATAAAAAGCATCCACAAAAGAGAGATAAAACAAGATCAAATGACATCAGCAATTATTGTGGGCCCAATTCAGTGGTGGGATTCAAAATTTACCACCAGCAGTTCTCTGGGCGTAGCTTGGTAGGCTTGGCTAGGTGGTCATGTGACTGGGTGGGTGAGGCCAACTCAATATCACTCACAGCAAGGTGAAGCGGCACCTTGCTGTGAGTGATGTCAAGTTGGCCATGCCCGCTCAGTCACATGACCGATGCTATAGAGATGGGGCTATTTCCTACGTATCTTCCCCCCCCCTCCACCCATGGGCTGATGAAATAAAAGCCCATGTAAAGATCGCAACTGTCTGCTGAGTCTGCCTGCTGAATGGATTTTGTTTTGGGGTTGTTGTTTTTTCGCCAGAAGCCCCTCAGAAGTGCACTAATTTTTACGGAACAAGTTTTGCAGCACCCCATCTTATTGTATCTCACTGTTGTGGCACTGCTTGTTCCTGATGCAGGTGTTACTGCAGCTGTCGGGCTGCCCAAGTAAAGAACTGCACCAATTCGTTGAAGTACTTTAAAGGGACAGACTGCAGCGGCGCCTTCACGCTGCAAAGGGAGGCAGAAAAGTTCGGCAAATCTTCTCCTCCTTCTCAGGCACATCAAGTATGCACATATCTTACGGGCCAGAAGGACTCGCCCACGTGTCGTCTCCTCACAAGTGGTCCCAGCCTCTTGTGTGCACGCTATGTGTGTATGCCCAAGAAGAAGACTTGGCCGAACTTTTCTGCCTCCCTCTCTTCTGATACACACTGGCCAGGCAGGTGAGCAGTGTCATATGGGGCAAGTGTCCTCCCAGCCAGTGCAGCCATGTGGCTTCCCAGCCGAGGGGAGGAGGATGTTCTCCTGTTCTCCCAGCCAGTGCAGCCATGTGGCTTCCCAACCAGGGGGGAGGGTGCTCTCCTGTTATCCCAGCCAATGCGGCCATGTGGCTTCTCAGCTGGCATTCAGAGAAAAGCGGAAAGATCCAGGAAGCACGGGAAGCTCTGGGAACAGTGGGAAGCTCTGGAAAGGGGCGGGAAGCGCCGGGAAGCATTGCTGGAGGCTGAGGACAGTAGTTAGGGCAGTTAGCTAGGCAGCAAGCGCTGCATACAATGGAGCCGCGGTGCTGGCAGCGAAGCAAGCCAGACAAGCCCATGGATGATGGGGTAGGGCAGCGCAGTGGCCTAGGCCAGCACAGGAGTCGTTGGCACTCGACCAGGGCTTACAGCAGCAGAGGCATATAGGCCAGGCATCGATTTGTCCACTCCCTCACAATCATGCACCCAGAGAGATCAGGACCACGGCAGAAGGCAGGCAGCAATGGCGGGAGAAGGCAGGTCAGCAATGGCGTGGCGGGCAAGGAATGACTGGGTGGGGTGGGGCAAGCAGGGTGGGGCAAGTGGCAAGCAGGGATGAGCAGGCAGCCAGTGGCGGGGCCAGCCAGAGGTTTTATTTTCCAGTTCTATAAAGCACTTAAAAATTTATGTTATCCATTCTCCTGAACCGGTCCAAGACATCTGAATACCACCTCTGGCACAATTGACAAAAAAACGCTTAAGACAGGTTGGAAACAACTCTTGATCCTGCAGTGGATGAACAATGGCTAAATGATGATGATGACTAAAAAAATTTCAAATTGAAAGTTCTTAGGACTGCCACTCCAAAGCCTGGTGTGATCACATGACATTTCAAGCCTATTTATGGCTGTTTACAGCATCTTAGAGTTATATAACTGTAGTTTACAACATTTCTGCCTAGAACTAGATTTACTTCCTTTTTTCGGCAAAAACACCCCGTAGCAAACAAAAGGTTTATTTAACAAACACAGTACTTTTATAAGCTGTAGATTCACTTAATGACCATGGTAATTTGCTTAATGACTACTGCAAAAAAAAAGTTGTAAAATCAGGCCTTATGATTGCCATGGCTTATTACAGTAACGTGCAAGCTCAATTATACCAGTAAGTGGAGGACGATCTATACACAACTCCATAGGCAACCGCAAGATACCTGCAGATAACTATCTGAGTGGCAAATGTGCACTAGTCAATGCTACACTGGTTTTTCTGGAACAAATCCAATCATTGGTCATAGGATAACCAG